TATTTATTTGACAGAGAGAGACACAGCGAGAGAGGGAATACAAACAGAGCGGGTGGGAGAGGGAGAAGCAGGCTTCCCGCCGATCAGGGAGCCCGATGCGGGGCTCGATCCCAGGACCCTGGGATCACGACCCGAGCCGAAGGCAGACGCTTAACGACTGAGCCACCCAGGTGCCCCCACACGTTTAATATTTAAAACCTCACTTTCTGGTAGATAATATTATCTTCATTTTACAAATAAAAAAACTGAAGATCAGAGAGATTCAGTCATTTGCTCATTTAACAAATATTTAGTAAGCACTCACTGGGTTCTTTACTTTGGGGATATATTAGTAAGTGAAACAGAAAAGGTCCTTTTTATGGGCTTGCATTCTAGCTGGGGAAATATAGACAACAAACCAGTACACAAATAAGATAATTTCTGACAGTGGTAAATGCTATGAAGAAAATAGGAAATGGGGGAGCTGCTGTTAGGTTGGGTGGTCTCCAAAGTCCTATCTAAAAATGAGTCAATGGGGAGCCTGCTTCTTCTCCCTCTGCCCCTGTCCCCCCCACCCCAAGCCGCTCATGTTCTCTCTCCCTCTCTCAAATAAATGAGATTTGATCTGATGCCTAAAAGGAAAGAGAAGAGCTGGGAAATGGAACTGTTGGTATAAAGGCCCTAAGGCAGCAACAAGTTGGGCTCATTCAAGACACGGGAAGTTTGGTCGGAGGAGCTAACAGGGAAAGCCACTGGGTCGTTTTGAAAGGGAGGGTAATTTGATCCATAATGGGGGACCCCAAACAGCTTTTTTGTTGATGTGTATATCAGTTATCTGTTGCTGTCTAACCCCAAAATGTAATGACTTACCACCAATCACTGATTTTCACTGGGTTTCTGTGGTACTGGAATTTGGGAGCAGCTCGCTTGGGCTTTTCTGTCTCGGTATCTCTTGTGAGGTTGCAGTCTTCGGAAAGCTTGGCTAGGGCTGAACAACCTCCTTGCAAGATGGCTCAATCACATTAGTGGTTAAGTTGGTGCTGGCTGTTAGCAGGAAGACTCCATGCCTCTCCGTCTCCACAAGAGCCTCTCCACAGGCATACTTGAGAGTCCTCATGTCATGATTGCTGGCTTCCCCCACAGCAAGTGATCCAAGAAACAGCAATACAGATGTTGAAATGTTTTATAACCCAGCCTCAGAAATGGCACATTGTTCTTTCCTCAATATTCTACTGATACATAGCCCTATTTGATGGGATCGTGACTGCCAGGAAATGTATGCCCTTGCAGGCCATCTTGGGAGACTGGCTACCACAATGTTTCAGTGGCTTTTAGGCAACAGGCTTGAACAGTGGAAACCTGAGTAAGGTAGAAGGGCCCACAGTGACCCCAACCCCCTGGCTAAATACAGACAGGCCCAGGGCACCCACCTCAAACTATCCATAGGCCCTAACTAACCAATGGGCTACTTACTACCAGGCACAGGTACCAAAAAATGGAAAATTCTGTATGTTCTCATACCTGCTCACCTTCCCTCTTGAAAAACAGCCCCAACCCATTGCCTCATTGCAGGCCGTCTCTCCTTTGTGGCCCTGCCCGCTGCTCCCTTGGGGTGTATTCGATAAATTTCTATCTCCTTTGTTCTGCCTCACGTGAATCCTGTCACTGCCCGTGCCACTGGCTTCCACCTGATTGAGTCACCCCACATTTGGGGACCCCCATCCAATGGGGACAGACACCACAAATGTGGGTATTTTTAAATTTGAGTTTATAAATGTAAACGTATTTTATATATTTGTATATATATATTTAGAAAATAAAATATTTGATATTTACCACCTTAGAAACTAAAGCTTAAAAATATTGTTCATAGGGGCACCTGGGTGGTTCAGTCAGTTGGGCATCCAGCTCCTGGGTTCAGCGCAGGTCATGATCTCAGGGTCCTGAGATCGAGCCCCAAATCCAGATCCATGCTCCTCAGGGAGTCTACCTAAAGATTCTATCCCTCTGCCCGCCCCCAACCGCGTGTGCAACTGCTTGCACTCTCTCCCAAATGAATAAATAAATCTTTTAAAAAAAATGTATATTGTTGGGGCGCCTGGGTGGCTCAGTCAGTTAAGCATCTGACTCTTGGTTTCAGCTCAGGTCATGATCTCAGGGTCGTGGGATTGAGCCCTGAGTCTGGCTCCCGGCTCAGCAGGGAGTCTGCTTGCCTCACTCCCTCTGCCCCCGCCCCCCGTTATGGGCTCTCTCTCTCTCAAATGAATAAATAAAACTTTAAAATATATATATATTTTCCAAAACAAAAATAATCAGAAGAATGACATTGTTTTACATTTCTCCAAATCTTTTTAATAACTGGTTTGACAGAAGAGTGTTAGATTCTTTTTTTTTTTTTAAAGATTTTATTTATTTATTTTAGAGAGAGAGAATGAGAGACAGAGAGCATGAGAGGGAGGAGGGTCAGAGGGAGAAGCAGACTCCCTGCTGAGCAGGGAGCCCAATGCGGGACTCGATCCCGGGACTCCAGGATCATGACCTGAGCCGAAGGCAGTTGCTTAACCAACTGAGCCACCCAGGCGCCCGAGTGTTAGATACTTAATTTTGCTTCTGCATACTCCACTAAACTATTTATGAGAGAATGAGAACAAAAAATGGAAAATAATGTCTTTGTGTTATTGTAAAAATAGTTTTGACTTCAAAGAACCTTTTGAAAGGGCTGAGCTATACTTTGGGAACCTTGGACTAGAATATGATGTAACAAATGATACCCAAATCTCAGTAGCTTAAAATAACAAAAGTTTATTTCTTGCCTATGCTACAAATCCATTTGGGGTTGCCCATGGTTCTGTTCTATGTCATCTTCACTGAGGAACCCAAACTGGCAGGTCAGCCTCTAGCTAGGACATTGCCAGTCATTGTGATGGGTGAAAAGAACTTGGTAAATGATCCTATCTCTTAAAACTTGTGCTTGGAAGTGATGTCAATTTTTTTTCTTTTTTCATCAGCCAAAGCAAGTCACATGGGCAAGCTTTAGTTCATCAGGACTGGTATGTATAATCTAGTGTAGGGAGGGGCCCTGCTGGAGGGGATACAAAATATATGTATTTTGTATATATATATATATAAAAAATATACAGAGAGATATATATATATATCTGTGCCATGGTGTTTAAGGAATATCATTCCAGTTGTGCATGGAGAATGGATTACTTTGAGGAGATGTAGGAAGATACTCAAGAGTAAAAGTAGTGTTGGGCCACCTGATTGTCTCAGTCAGTAGAGCATGCAGCTCTTGATCTCAGGGTCATGAGTTCAAGCCCCACATTAGGGGTAGAGTTTATTTAATTAAAAAAAAAATGTAGAAGTTGTATTAGAAATTGACACAGTGCTTGGGCCAGAAGGTATGGTGGCTTGAACTAGATGGTAGCAGTGGTCTTTTTTTTTTTTGAGATTTTATTTATTTGTCAGAGACAGCAAGAGAGGGAACACAGGCAGGGGGAGTGGGAGAGAGAGAAGCAGGCTTCCCGCTGAGCAGGGAGCCCAATGCGGGGCTTGATCCCAGGGCCCTGGGATCATGACCTGAGCCGAAGGCAGACGCTTAACGACTGAGCCGCCCAGTCGCTCCAGTAGCAGTGGTCTGATTCAATATATACTTTGGAGTTGGCAGAATTTGTTTTTGGAGTGGGGGTGGAGATAAGGGCAAATACTGAAAAAACTTCTAGGTTTTTGTCTTGAGCAACTGAGTGGATTGTATGACATGTAGAGATGGAGAATAGGTGGGTTTTTTGAGGGGTGGGTGAGTGAAACAAATGTTCTGTTTTGAACATATTAAGCCTGAGGTGCCCGTTAGACATCCAATTAGAAATGTTCAGTAGCCACTGAGTATATAAGTCTGGAGATCAAGGGAGAGGTCAGAGCTAGAGATAGAAATTCTGCAGGCATTAGCATAGAGCTCTAGTAAAGCCAAGGAGTTGAATGAGATCTCCTAGGGAGAAAGTGTTAATATGGAAGAGAAGAGGGCTAAGGGCTAAAGCCTCAGCATGCTGCAACATTTATAGGTGAAACAATGGCTTTGGATCCAGCAAAGGAGATTGAGGAACCATTGAGGGAAGGTGAAAACTGGTAGAAATAGAAGCAGAATGAGGAGATTGGCTCAAGAAGTGGGGCATAGTCTATTTCAGTGTTCTAGAAGTCGGATAGGATGAGTATAGCAAAATGACCGTAGGATTTGGGAACATGGAAGTTATAGCTGACCTGGACAAGTACAGTTTTAGTGGAGAGGTGAGGATCAAAGGCTAATTATGGGAGTTGGGGCAAGTGAAGAAGGGAGCACCTCTTTTGAGAAATTTTTTTGTTGGGTGGGTAACAAAGATGTGAAGATTAAATAATGTGTACGTCAATTTCTTTTTCTTTTTTTTGTAAATTGTCAATGCTCTATAAGTGATAGTCTTCTTTTGTTATTTATTATTTAACTCCCAGGAATTTCCAACCTGTTCAGTGTGAAGAATCACTAAGACTAGGCTACCACTAGTCCCCAACTTCCCGTCTATTAAGGCGCAGTGTATCTCCACGCAAAGACAAGCCAAGAAATGAAGAGACGGATGGAGAAGGCGGAAATGAAAAGGAAGGGGGAAAGGGAGGATTTGCTGAGTTAACATTGACCTCGCAGGGCCACCGTAGGGCAGACCCTCACAGCTACGACGCTCTTGTGGGGCGGAGCCGACAGGAAATTTAAACCGGAGCCGCGGCCGACGGCGCCTGGAGACTGACAATGTACTCGTGCAGTTCCCGTCGGCACGCGGCCGTCTGAAATCGCTCATGGAGCCCGCGAATATAACGCGGAGGCCTTGAGGAAGGAGTACGGAGGCCGAGAAGGAGCCGAGAACTTGAGGAGGGAGCCAGGCAAGGGTACGGATGCCGGGAAGGGGAAGATGGGGTGAGAAGGTAGGCGGAAGGGGTCATAAGAGTGTAGAGAGGATAAGGGCTGGGGAAGGTGCACAAGAATTGGGGAGCAGATAGGTGCAGAAGCTGAGGCGGGTAGAGGGGCCGGGAAGGGCTCCCAGGAATTGAGGAGGCCGAGGTCTCAAGGGGGTGGGGGGACTGAGCGGACAAGAACCTGGAGGGAGGCACGGGAATTGAAATGTACAAGGGTGGCCAAGAGGCCGTGGAAGTTGAGGGCGCAGAGTCCTAGTGGGGGCGGTGGGACGGAGGGACAAGAACCTTGGAGGAGGCGCAGGAGGTGAGATGGGATGCGGATTGGATGGAGTTGAGGCTGTACCCGGGAGCCGCGCCGGGGATTGTGCGGGAATTGGGAGGCGGGGGGGAGGGGAGGATAGAAGGTCGAAGGCTAATGAAGGTGGTTTTGTTGTTTTGTCCTTTCTCAGGCGACGGCAGCTTCTCTGAGCTGCAGAGTTCTATGGCGGAGAGTAGGCTCCGGGCTCCGGACCTAGGTAGGTAACAGGTCAGAACTAGGGATGCGAAGTCGAAGTTGCTGCTCCTGCAGCAGAGTCACTTGGGATGGAAAGGTCGAGAATGTTAGCGCTATTGGGGTTTTCTAATTTCTTAGTGGTTTTGAGTGTGTGTATATGGTGGGATGTCATGAAATCATTTAGGAATTCATGTTAAAGGTCAAATAAGAGCTTTCAGTCTGATATCATGAACAAGATTAGCAGATGGGGAATCAGGATAGAGTACCTTATTAAGCCCACATTCATGGTTATTTTTACCTAAACTCACCGAAATAGGTAAGTATTTCAGCACATGCTCACTTCCCTCAATACTCCCTCTCCCACTTCTTTTTTTTTTTTTAAGATTTTATTCATTTATTTGACAGAGATATAGCGAAAGGGAACACAAGCAGGGGGAGTGGGAGTGGGAGAGGGAGAAGCAGGCTTCCCACTGAGCAGGGAGCCCGATGTGGGGCTTGATCCCAGGACACTGGGACCATGACCTGAGCCGAAGGCAGACGCGTAATGACTGAGCCACCCAGGTGCCCCTCTCCCCCTCCCACTGCTTTCAGTATCTTTAGTTTTAGTTTTGGATTGTTACAGGTAACAGGCTTTGGTTGTTGCCTTTGAACCGGTAATGTACTTTACTAAGTTACCTACTCTTCCTTTGCGGGGGAACTTTTCTCCAAGAGTGTTTTCAAAAGGGGGCTTTATGGGATAAACTTTCTGAGGCTTGTATGCCTGAGAATATTTTGATTTCACCGTTGTGTTAAAATTCTTGAGTCAAAGTTCTTTTTCTTCAGCACACTGAAAAATGGTATTTTCTTCCTGCAAAAAGTAGAGCCTGTTGATAATTGATGTTGGTCTGGTTCTTGTTCCTTTGGATTAAAAATTAAAACAAAATCATTGACTGTATATGTATTGACTGATCATTCTATGAATGATCACTAATTCATGACCTGCTTTTTTCATTAGAACATTTTAGATGATTCTCTTTATATTTGTTCTTAAAATTCACTGTAGTATGACTGTGAATTTTAGAGGGTTTTTAAATTTATTTGTTACAGTTTGATGGTTACATAATTTTAAAAGGCCAGGTCTTCCCCCTCTCTCTCTCACACACCTAGAGTTGGAGTTGTTCCTCCTGATTGCCACTCCCGAGGGTGCCACTGTTTACAGTTGTTTTCACTAATTCTTCTAATATTTACCTACTTATTTCTAAATAGCATGCTCATACTGTTTTTGTTGTTTTCAACTTAAATTATATCTATTGACTTCCTAGCATGGAAAATATTTTTTCTGTCTCCCCACTCACCTGCAGCGCGCGCACACACACACACACAAACACAATTTTCCTCCTCTTCTCTCCTCCCAGTGTATATGAAGTCTGTTTTGATTGGTTTGTTTGTTTTTTTAAGTAGGCTCTACGCCCAGAGTGGAGCCCAACATGGGCCCAAACTCATGGCCCTCAGATAGACCTGGGCTGAGATCAACCCACTGAGCCACCCCAGCGCCCCTATACATAGTCATTTTTGATTGGTCATTTATTTATTTGCATTATCATTATTATGGTTATTTACAGATGACCCATATAGTAAAGTAGGAAATATGCTTCATTTTCTATGAATGATCACTAATTCATGTCCAGATTCTACCAGAATTATAAACCTTCCCTCAATACCTTCAAGCTCATCAAAGAATCCATCAGTTTCTTCTTTGTCTGGAAGACATACCTTCTGAAACCATTTGTCTTAGTCTTCCAGTCTGGTCCAGCTATGCTGAGGCTTGTTGCACTGATTTCATCCTAGAATCTCCCTTCATCATTCTATGGATTTCCCTTTGCTTTTTTCCTGTGTAGGATACCCTATATTCCAAATTCCTATTTTCTTCTCTCTTCATTTACTTCCTCATTTTGGTAGAGCACATCTTCTAATATAGCTTCCTGAGAAAGGGTACATGACAGATAAATTTTTCAAGACCTCCAGGTCTGATAATTCTTTACTTTTTTTTTTTTAGATTTTATTTATTTATTTGAGAGAGGGAGAGAGAACACGAGCGGCTGGTGGCGGGGGGGTGGGCAGGGGCAGAGGGAGAAGAAGAAGCAGGCTCCCCGCTGACCAGGGAGCCTGATGTGTGGCTTGATCCCAGGACCCTGAGATCAGACCTGAGCCGAAGGCAAATGCTTAACCCACTGAGCCACCCAGGCGCCCTGACAATTCTTTATTCTACCTTACATTTGAATGGTAGTTCAGCTAAAGATCATTTTTCCCCAGAATTTTGAAGACATGTTCCACTTTTTTTAAGTGTACAAATCGTTTTGTTTTAATTTTTAATTCCAGTATAATTAACATCCAGTGTTATATTAGTTTCAAATGTACAGTATAGTGTACAATACAGTGATTCAACCACTTTCCACTTCTTGTAGCTTCCAGTATACTATGGCAAAGTCTGATGCTGTCAATATTTCTACCTTCCTCCTGAACACAATAAGCACCTAGACTGGTCTGTCTCTGAACCACCGCTGCCCCCGTCTAGCAACAATATGATTATTGTCTGTCTTTTTTTTTACTTCCAAATTAGTCATTGTTATTGTTGTTTTATACAGTCAGTGATTGTTTAGATTTATACATATTTTTGCCAAATTTTGGCATTTCAGTCCTTCTGGGTCTAGCTTCCTTCATCCCAAAGTACACCTCTGCGAAGTCCTTTAGTAAGAAGTGGTTGGGGATAAATGGGTTTTCTTTGTTTGAAAAATGCCTTCAGTGTTCTTTGTTGAAAAACGGGTGGCTCAGTTGGTTAAGCATTAGATTCTTGACTCTTGGTTTCAGCTGAGGTCATGATCTCATGATTGTGGGATCGAGCCCAGTGTCTGGCTCCATGCTGGGTATGGATCCTGCTTAGGATTCACTCCCTCTCCCTCAATCCCTCCCCTGCCCTCAAAAAAAAAAAGGATAGAAAAGAAAAAAAAGAAAGAAAGATGCCTTTATTTTGCCCTTACTGTTGAATAATTGTTCAGTCAGATATAAAATTCTAAGTTGACATTTATTTTAAATACTGATTTTAGTGAAATAAAGCATTTAATAATTTAAGTAATTATTTTGTAGTCTATATCTGATCATTCTATTTGAAGTTCCTGGGCATCTAATTTTGCTGTCTCTTATTTCTGCTGATTCTGACCCACAGTGGTTTGTTTCCTTCATGTGTTTTATAATGTTGGAGGGTGAGTTAATGTTTGATGATGCTTTATCTGAGGAAATTCTTGGAACCCTGAGCTAAGCTGTCAACCTCTAGAATTGCTTTGCGTTTGGTTATTTGAAGTATGCCAAAGATGTTATAAGCTGGAATTATTTTTTACTTTAATTTCTCTGATGGTGGTGGTAATGGGTTCTTAGACCACATAAGTAACTTGAATTTGAATTCCAAATTCTTGGGAGGCCTATGGTTATGAGTTCTCAGAGAAGACTTTTGTCATGCAGAGCCCAGGCTAATATAGACAGTATTCCCCTTTTGTCTCTTTTAGTGAGTAGATTATTTTCTGATTTACCTTTTCTCCTAGATTCATGCAGGATTTCTCAATTCTAACTCCCCCCTTTAGGCAGGTATAAAACCTTATCTCCTGGGCCCATCTGACTCATCAATCCCAAACCCTTTTCTTTTAAGCCCACAAACTCCCTCAGGGCAGTCAGCATTAGCTTTCACCCCTGTGGTTTTCAGTTTTCTCATCATTCGGGACATTTGTGGAGTCCTCTTATTTATTTATTTTGTGAACTTAGCAGTTAGATGGGTTTTGTGTTTATAATGTAGCCAGTATTTTTAGATATTTTGTATTAGGAAGGCTTTTAAATTACTGGTTTCCAATATGGCCTGAAATGAAGCCAAAATCCTTTCTCCTTAATATCCTGAAATTTCTTGACAATGTGCCCTGATGTGGGACTTTTTTCATTCATGGAGCGGGCACTTGGTGGAGACTTTCAGTCTGGAAACTCATTTTCTTTCGTTCTGGAAGTTGTTAACATTATTTCTGTGAGATTCATCCCCTCCATTTTCTTTCTTTTCTATTTCTGGAACTTTGTATTGTTCAGATATTGGATCTTATGGACCGATTCTTTGGTTTTCCTGTCTCTCTCTCCAACTTTCCACCTATTTGTCTTTTGTTCTCTTCTCTGGAGGATTTCTTCAACTTAACTTCCAATCATTATATGAAATTTATTTCTGTAAGATTTCTCAGTTCCTAAAAGGTTTTTCTTCTTTGTGGTTTCCTTTTTTATAGTTGCCTATGTGTTTATGGAAGGCAGTGCATTCCTTTATCTCTCTGAGATGTTTGTGGTATTTCTTTTTTCTCTTTTCTTCTGCTTTCCTGTATTGTCTCTGTTTCCTCTAAGGTCTTTTTTCCGTTTGTTTGGTAGTCAGATTTCTTGTTAAAAGCTTTCATTTTTCTTCTTCTTCTTTTTTTAAGATTTTATTTATTTATTTCACAGAGAGAGGGAACACAAGCAGGGGGAGTGGGAGAGGGAGAAGCAGGCTTCCCGCTGAGCAGAGAGCCCGATGCAGGGCTCGATCCCAGGACCC